AACTTATACCAAAATTCCATCTCAAATGTTCCTAATACATAGAAATAAGTACGCATTTTTTTACCAACAATAACTTTTAATTCTTATTGTAGTTATGTTGGGATTGACTTCTATATATTTAATTATTTAGATTATACTTTTTTTAAGAACTTTGACAAATTGTTCTAATAATTAAGCCTATAATCTTATAAACTGACATATTTTCATATCTTTTTAGTATAGAAGGACTTTATTTTCTGTGTTAGTGTATATATTCTACTTAAGACTTGGCCCTTGTTTGACCCACATTATTTTTTAAACATGTTTTTTCTTCTTTTCAACTACCCATGTTTCAGTAAAATAATATTACAAGCAATTTAAATTTTTTCTTATTTCTTAACGACACATTTTTCATCAATTTACTATTTCAAAATGTATTTTTAGCCCACAAAATGGGGTCAAACATGGTATTTTGTATATGCATGAATTGGTGATAGGTAATTGCAATTAATTTTTAAATGATATTTTGTTAATTAAGCTAGACATAAATAAATGTGAAAATTACACAAAACCATAGTTTAAGTATTCAAAATTCCCAAATCAGATAGGAAGTTTTATATTTCATAAATCATATTTTTTTATTAATTATTTAAATAAACTAATTACCAAAAAAATAAAAAATCTACACCCACTACCCAGCTGTCACTACCCATCCCATCCCTCTCCCTTGCTCGTCTCTCTCTCTCTATTCCTCAAATTCTCTTCTCCGATGACAACGTGGCCCTCTCGTCATAGCTATGAAGATGCCTCGTTTTGCCATTCTCCGGTCGCTGCAGCAGGAAGCTGCATTGTTGCCTTTCTCCGAGCGCTAAAATTCTTCTTCCTCAATCAACCATTGTTGCTGTTTTTGCTTCCCAAGGAATAAACCCCTGACTTGTTCCGACGAGACATTCACAATCGAAAGAAAGGAACCACTACATGAGGTGCACACACTGGGATCGCGATCTTCGTCCCCAGATTTGATAGCAGCGTCGATCCCATTCTTGTCGAAACCCTTGTCGAAAATTAATTAAATAGATGTTTAGAACGCCATATTTGAGGGTTTGTTGGTCATTCTGGCGATGGCGTTGATTTTGTTGGTGGTTTGGGCGACGATTTTGTTGGTCACAGCCACTAGTATAGGTTCTGAAATTGGGTGTGTTGATGGTGTTTTGTGTGGTGTTGTGTGGTGGTGGTGGTGGTGTTGATGTGGTGGCGATGTTGGGTGGTGTTTATGTGGTGGTAGTTTTCGGTTTGGGTGTTTGTGACGATTTTATTGGTGGATTGAAAGTTGTGGTCAATGTGGTGGTGGTGGTGCTATTTGAGGCAGCATTGAAGTAGTGGTCGTAAGTGTTCGTGGTTGTCACAGATTATTTGGTTGTGACCAGTGAATTGGTTAATATGTGACCAATAAACAATATATGACCAATAAAAAGAATAATTTGTGACCTAAAAAAATAATAATTTGTGACTGTCTAATAAATTTTGAAATATAAAATTTGTGATCTGTGACCTATGAATTTTTTATTCGTGATCGGAAAATAATATGTGATCTATAAATTTTTTGATTTGTGATCGAAAAATAAGTTGTGACCAATAATTTGATAAGTTGTGACTAAAAATTAATCTGTGACTAATTAATTTTTTTATTTGTGAACGATGAACAAACTGTAACCTACAAAATTTTTAAATTGTGATCGTAAAATAATTTGTGACATAAAATGTCTTATTTGTGACCAAAAAATAATAAGCGATTAATTAAATTGTTAATTTGTAATCAAATGTATAGATATGTGACCTAAATATATTTAATTAATAAAATAATTAATTAAATCATAAATAAATTTTAATAAAAATTTGATTTTTGAAATTTGAAACTTATTTTTTTAATCTTGATATATGTCATATTTAATCTCTTACTTATGAAATTTTCCCCTAAATAAATTCTTTAGCCCTTGTTTGAGCCTCATTTTTGTCCAAAAAATGTATTTTTGATTTTTGAATAGCATGTTGATGAGAAATGTGTAATTAAAAAATAAAAAAATTTGAATTTGCGTATAATATTATTTTATTAAAGAATGTGTGGTTAAAGTGAGGTCAAACCACAGTTGAAAAATGAATTTTGATTAAAAAAAATGGAGATCTGTTTGAGTTGGTCTATGTACACCTCCTGCACCAGATTGAAACCTACCTCGAAATGCTATGCAATTAGCCAACTAGTATTGTTCTGTCTGTGGTGTACGATAGTACTCGATATTGAGGGTCTGTTTGGTAGTGATTTTGAGAATTGATTTTTTGACCGTTGGGAGAAAAGTGGGGGCCACATGTGAGTGAACAAGTAAAAAATGAGTGAAATAACGGTCAAAAAATTAATTTTTTGGGGGTGAAAAAGCACTACCAAATGGGGCTTTAAGTAGTATTACTTTTATTCTCGTTTTCCTCATTTCCACTGATTGAGAGGAGATATAGGGAATAAAAATTATAAACAGGGGTAAATTAGGAACATAAAGTTTTTTTTTGACTTGGATGTGATATAATGCTTCTCCCACGCAGAACCACAAAGGAGTTTCAAACTTCGGAAATTAATCTGTAGGCCCAATTTGCAGTTTCGAAGTAGGAGAGAGAAAATGAAAGTAAGACGGATAATCGCCTGTGTACAGAAAATGATTGACAGGATTTTTACAGATGCTGTATTGACATCACCTGTATGGCTCATTCCTCGTTTACTTGTATTCAAATTTAATTAAAAATCTCATAATGATTAGAAATAATACACAATGATAGTTGTTTCAATGTTGGAGATTCTGGTGAAATTATTTCACATTCAACACTTCAATCATACAAAATCTTGCACCCCCACACCACACATGATATTTAGAAATACATGTATGTTTCAAATGTTAAATTAAATAAGTTTAAGATAAATTAATTGATGAATATTTCAATATGATTTTAACTCAATCCACGTGTCTAAATTAACACACAAGATTAATTGTGTGTTAGAAGCGATTATTGTAAATTAACAACGGATATGAGTTCTAATTTAGACTGATTCAATTTGCTTCGATAGATGGATTATGTCCATTGTTCGACTCAATTTGTTTATATAGATAGATCAGGTTTAATTTACTTCGAAACTACATCAAAATGAACTTGTTTAAAAAAAATACTAAAAATGAGATTTATTGTTCACCAAATCAAAAGCCTTTATTTGCTTGCAAACTCAAAATAAAAGACCTTTATTTATACTTCAGTTCACGAAGGGTGTGTTTGATTACAAATATAAGATTCACGTGGAAAAAAAATAAATTATAGGCAATTCAATTGCCTACAAGTTATTTGTATAGAAATTATCAACTAAATGTGTTTAATTGATTTTATTGTCACACTTGCCCTTTTTTTATTGATAGGTAGATGGGAGAAAGAGTAAGGAAAATGACACAAAAGTGAAAATTTAGATGATGAATTGCATACTCCCGAAATTTAGATCGAAGAATTGTTGGGGTCTTGGAATTTCATGAACGCGGGACAGGAGCATGCATTTAACCGGCGAGCTCCACTGTTATTTGACGCTATAAGACATTATAAAATATTTGTAAAATGTAATATTCATAAAAAAAATCTGGGACCCACAAAATTCTCTCTTTATTTTGTGACAGCACTTGTTCTAACAATTTTATAATACAAACAAAAGAAACAAAATAAAGAAGTGTTTTTATCAAAAGCATTTATATGTATTAAACTTTAATTTTGAATTGGCAAACTATTCCAATATTTCGCATCCTAAATTAATACTAATATTCATCAAATCAAATCCAATCGTATCCCAAACAAAATAAAAATAAAATGGCTATCATGAAAGAAAACAAAAATCTTGACCCCTCTATTTCTCTCCTTTAGTGGGGACATCAAACTAAAGTGATAAATCTATTTGAACTAAAATATGATTAAAACAACAACCTTTTGAGAGAATCTTGATGCATAAAGATTAATCAATTATGACATGAAAGAATTAAGATCTAAAGCAAAAGGTAAAAAACTACATGTGACTTTTACTTTTGTTCCTGTTTGTCCTTTGTTTATTCTATATTTATCTTTAAGGATATCAATAAGATCATGTTTCATGGTGGCCACTCCCTAAAATAACACTATAATTGCTTTTGTTTACTTCTCCCTTGTTTGATTTAGCTAAAAATCATATTTTTATTAAATTTTGATAAAAGTTGATAGAATGCGTGGTTGAAAAATTGATAAAAATTGTATATCTTATGAAACATAATTGAAAATGAATTCGATAAAAAATAAATTTTGAAAAAGAGAATCAAAGAGGGACTTCATTTAGCTAGCGGCATCATAGCCTTAGAGTATATAATAGTCGCAAAAATGTGGAGTCAAAACTTTCAAGTACCAGAGCGTCGCAGGCATGGTGCAATGGATGGATGATTCATAACAACTACTTGTATGGATAATGGCCAATGTGTTGCATTAGCAATAGTAATAGCGAATTGATTGGGTGGACATCTAACACATTAGATGACTAAAATTTTCCTTACTTGGACGAAAACTAAGAGAATAATTACCAAGAGTCCGTTTTGTACGGATTAAAATTTGATTGTAATCTAAATTAAAGTCAAATAATCTATACCAATCATATCTTTTATGGGTCATACAACTTTTCAATTATATATTTCAAAATTTTTTTTATCACAATCTATTAAAAATCTAATTTTAATATCCACCAAACACCTTCTAAGTAACTGATTAGAACAACATGTTACATCGGCTTTGCCATTAATGGTTGAAATGGATTTAGACAAAATGACTTCAGTGAAACAATAACTAATGCTAAGTGACTAGTTTGAAACAGAAAAATGTTTAGTGATCAAAATGAAAGAAAATAGTTCGTAAACAATTATTTAGAGGGTGTTTGGTAGGAATTTTTATGTGAAAATGAATTTTTGATTAGTAAATTGATAAAAAATGTGTGGTTGAAAAATAAGAAAAAGTTTTTGATTTACGTGTAATATTATTTTAATAAAGAATGTGTGATTAAAAAGAAGAGAGAAAAAAATGCATTTTGATAAAAATGAGTGCCAAACATGGCCTTAGTAATAATATGTGTCAAATGTCCGTGAATAATTTTACTGAGCCCAAATTTCTAGTTGGCCGATCCTCCGAGTTCTTAATCGGTAAATCCGAGGCCCAAATCCATTTAAAAAAAGTCTTTGTTCTTGTCTTGAAGAAAAAGATAACCAAAATCAAATCAGCAAAACCCTCTGTTCCCTCTCCTCCAGGAATTCTAAACTAGAGTGAGACGACAGTACATACAAAATCCTGTATCTACACTACATACCTTGTGCAACGACGTCGTATGCAAAATGTTCAGGAACCAGTACGACACCGATGTGACAACATGGTCGCCGGCGGGGCGTCTCTTCCAGGTGGAGTATGCTATGGAGGCGGTGAAGCAGGGCTCGGCTGCGATAGGGTTGAGATCGAAGAGCCATGTGGTGTTGGCATGCGTCAACAAGGCTAACTCTGAGCTTTCCTCTCACCAGAAGAAGATCTTCAAGGTTGACGATCATGTAGGAGTCGCCATCGCTGGCCTCACTGCCGACGGACGCGTCCTCTCCCGTTATATGCGTAATGAGTGCATCAACTATTTCTACACGTACGAGTCTCAGCTCCCAGTCGGACGCCTTGTCGTCCAGCTCGCTGACAAGGCCCAGGTTAACTGCCATTCACATTCATTCATAAAACTCCAATTCCCTTAGTTTTATTTTTATTTTTGTTGTTTTTTGTAACTAATTGTCTAATATGCATATTCTGTGCATCTATTGTGGTCTGTGGAGATAGATTTAGTTGGGTCCTGGATACCTTTGGAGTCTTTTGATTTAGATTCGGAATTGTGCGAATTTTGTTATTGGATCTTTGATCATTGAAAGTTCTGCTGATAATCAATTATTCTTTTTAACTACAACATTAATTCATTCGTTCTTCCTTTTTTATTTACATTTTCAGTTTCCTCTGTGCTCGTGGATCCTAATTATGCTATAAGTGATACATTTAGGATAGTGGTAATTGAGGATTTAGTGTTTTAGATTTGGATTGAATATGGAAATCACGTGTGAGGAAAAAAGGGAAGAAGAAATAGGGTTTGTAAAAGAGTTAAAATAGCAAGACTCTGTTGGGATGGGACGTGTGTGGAAAAAAGATTGTGTCTCTTATGCTCACAGAGTCACAAAATCCATCTAAGTGGAAAGCTGAAAGCTTTACTAGTTTGCTTCTTAGGATACATAACATCTTTTAAGAGAATGGGTGAGAAATGGAATCCAGTCTTCTTCTCCCAGATAATGCAATTTCCAACTACTAGGATCCCTGCATTCAAAGAGGGGTTAAGCTCAAAATATTTTCACCTGAGTTGCACTTTCTAAAGAAACTTTTTTGGGGCTTATGCATTGAGTCCCACCTCATGTGAAGCTTTAGTTAAATGCCTCATAGCTTACTCTTTAAATGCCATTAGTGAGATTTACGCCTTGATTCAGTGGAACTTACTCCTGTACTCAGTGAGGCTTATGCCTCAAGGCTGAGTCTCATGGAAACTAATGGGTTTGTCCATTTGTTTTGCCTTCTCTAGGCATGTTATTACTTAACTTATCCTTTTGAGCTATCTTTTTATAACTTAAAAATGTTTTTTGTTCTATTTTTTGCCTTTACATGGAAGACGGGGGAAGTCGGTTGGGGTGGATGATCAGACAACAATATTGCAAATGTAGGATGATGACAGAATGAGAAGAAGCTGTTATTGATGACGGTTTTCATAAAGATCCCACTAGTAGTGATGAATGTATAGGAGACTTATGGGTTGTTTTTTACTTTAGTTTTTTATGATTATTAATTTGAATATTTATTTTTTGGTACTTGATTTATTATATATTTGCCGTAAGATGGACTATTAAGTTTTTTAAAATGGTTTATTTTGATCTTTTTCAGTACTTTTTATGCTTTTCAATTATTATATTGATTTGTCTCAACGCTATGTCTCCAAATGCCTCGAGGCCATGCCTCTTCACAGAGGTGAAATACATAGGTATTAGAAACATTGGCTATTCCTTTTATTCAGGTTTGCCACAGAATACATGGGTATTCTATGAAGCCCTTGTTCGAAATTGATTTTTTCGTAATCTCTTTTTCCCGCAGTCATTTTCAAATATACATTTTCCTTAAAAAATAAAAAAATAAAAAAAATAAATAAATCATTTCTCCTTAACATTTCCGCACTTCTTAACCACAAATTTTCAAAAATTTCACTTTTCACAAAATCACTTCTCCAAAAATCAACTTCACAAGGGCTAAATCTAGATTCTAAACTGAAGGGAAAAGTGATTTTAAGATAAATGTTATTTAGCTTTCTGTTAATCAGTTGAATTTAAAGGAAATAAAGAGAGAAATGTAAGACTGAAACTTTGGCTATAGTGATTATGTGGCATGGGTTTGATAGATCTCTACCGTAAAAGAAAAATGGTTGTTAGTTCTTCAATAAATGCTGCTTGATTTATCAGGAGGGAGATCTTGTTTTGGTGCTACATTTTTGTTTCTGGAATGGACCATGTAGAGGTTGTCTTTGCTAAAGGCTACAAGTGGATACCGTAATCTGGCGAAAACACTGTACATAGATATTTGAATGCTTTAGATACTGATGGCATCTCAGTATGCCTTGACACTGTGTGCTCAATTTCAGTTCAGTTTTTAATTTAGATGCCTTGCTAGTTCGAACTAGTTTATGTTAGTTACAGCCAAAAAGCTGCTTGCCTCAGATTTTTTTCAATTTGTACTTAATATTATTTATATTTTAGCTCCTTATCTTATTATTGTTGTTCTTTAGCTTTTTTTTCTTATGTCCTAGAGAGTAATTTATTCGCTGAATGAAAGCTTACTTTTTGATGTGGAAAATATGATAAGAGGAGGAAAACAGGAATTTCTTTTCCAGAGAGGCGCATGATGTTGCTTATAACTCGTTAATAAGGTGTTCTTATAGGAAGGAAAATCAGCTAATGAATTTTTTCCTTGTGAACGTTTTTATTATTAGCCTTTACAGGATCGGGACTTAATCATCGTTGTTGGTGGTAATTACTGAGAAGTGCAAAGGCTTTATGGGTTTTAATCGTAGCTTATTTTTGAATGAATTTTAGGACAGAGTTTGTTGATGCAATCTGGTCTGATCACATTAACTTTACTTAATTGAATACAGTATTAAATCTTAGATAATAGGTACAATGAATTTTTTATACCATTCTGTAATGAGAATTCTGAGATTTTTGCCTAGTCACTGGCATAATCGTGGTTGTCCAGTGGGATTTTATGGTTTATATGTATGAGTTAGCATTTTTGCTATTGCCTATTTCCCAAATGTTGAATCTGCTATAGATTTGCAAGATTGTGTTAGGCCTGATGCTATGTTGCAGAGATGTGAGATTCTCATTTTATTTGGTTGCCTTGGAAAATCAATTAAGAATTTTGTCTTTGATAATACTACGAGTGTGTATGTAAGCATACATGCTTGTAAGGGAGAAGGAGAAGAGTGAAGGGAGGGAGGGATGTGCCCTTCTTAATCCAGTTAGATATTTTTCTATCTATTGTTAACTACTTCGTTTCATACTGGCCTTCTGTGTTTAGTGTATATAATCCTAGTTATCATTGTCCACTGGATCGTCTTCATATTTGTCTGTCTTTTCCTAACAGTAACATTTCATCCTGGCCTCTCGTGTATATAATCCTTGTTATTTACTTTCCACTGGATCATTTTCCTTTGCAGGTTTGCACACAGCGGTCATGGAAACGGCCTTATGGTGTTGGTCTTCTGGTTGGTGGTTTAGACGAATCTGGGGCCCATCTGTATTACAACTGTCCCAGCGGTAATTACTTTGAATATCAAGCTTTTGCAATTGGGTCTCGGTCACAGGCTGCAAAGACATATTTGGAGCGCAAGTTTGTGAGTTTCATGGCCTCATCACGAGAAAATCTGATCAAGGATGCACTTTTTGCATTGAGGGAAACCTTACAGGGAGAAAAATTGACGAGCTCTGTATGCACAATTGCTGTGGTAGGGGTGGGAGAGGCTTTCCACATATTGGATCAAGAAACTGTACAGGCACTGATCAATGAATTCGAGATAGTAGGTGAGGAGGCTGCTGCACCTGATCAAGCTGGTGTTGATGAGCCTTCTGCTGCTGACGATCAGGCGGCCCCTGTTGATCAAAGTGCGGCACCGATGGATATGTGATGATCATTGTGCAAGAAATAGTTTCATTTTAAGAACTTTCCGTCCCCTAAACAAAAAGTGCTGGTACATCTGGACCATTGAGATTTAGTTGGCACCGAAGGAATATCATATGTTCTGGTTGGATATTTATTTTGTTATGCTGTGAAACAATTTGAGTTCCCAATCGAATTTATCTTTTAAATACATTGACTGAATTTTATATTTAATCAAAGTTGGTCACAAATTGTCGCAGATAAGTAGGAGGTACTATTAGAGACAATGTTTGAATTACAAGACTTCCATATATAGTAAATTCAAAATCAGACTTCCGGTCTTCCGGTTTTCGTACATCATCTGTAGAGGTTAAATGACAGCAATAAACCAGCGCTCGGAAATGCAAATGCAGTTGCCTTCGGCTCAAACTGGAAGAATAAAAATAACTTGCTAAGGAAAACCCATATCAAAATCCTTTAATTAGTAAGACAACTTTCCAGGCCCGGGAATGGGGAGCTCCTGGATCTGCATTTGTTTGTACATCCACTGCCAGTTCTCTGGAGTTATCTCGCCCCCAAGAGAACGAATAACCGACCCACCACTGCAAGAGCCGACCCTGCAGCACTCCTCCAGTGAAAGTCCCTTCACCAATCCATACAAAAAGCCGCTAGCAAAGAGGTCACCTGCACCGGTGGCATCAACTGCCTTCGCCTCTTTGATTGCCGGAACACAGACAACCTAAAACAATAACATATTGTAGGCACGATATAAATCATATGTGCCACAAAGAATAACAAACACTATCGACATTTGTAAACAGCTAATGAACATGACACCAACCAGTCATTGCATTAGGCCATTAGCCACTTTGTGCACAATAGTGGATACAATTAGACACTGTAGTAAATAAGCTTGTAGCTTATTTTTCTTCCTCCATTTTGTCCAATACTATCTTAGCCACTCTTCCAAACATGGATATATTACCGATTATCGTGGGTTTAAGTCCACGTGCAGCAACTTCGTGTTTGTGATGAAAAATGCTCATGTCAATATCTAGTTTTCCCCTTTATTACCGTTTCTTGGAAAAAAAATATTACTGGGTTATGGAACCATCACTGCATAGCGACTTGTACTAGCCATTTCCACAGTTAACAGAAAACAGTGAACAGTATCATTAACACTAATGTTGCGTCTTTTATTGTATCTTCTTTTTTTGCTTATCAGTAACTCGGGGTATGTCAGAAATCAATATGATAAAAGAGATCATATATCTCATCCGACAGACCTCTTTTCCATATTTAGCAATGCATCCGTTCGGACCCAATGTTACCACAGCCCATTGGCAGCGTTTGGCCAGAAAATCAAGTGCTGCCTCAGGACCTTGTTCAATTTCACCCCTGCAAATTAATCAAAGATATCAGCACTTTAAAAACCTGCACAAAATATAATCATCATGTGAACTCTTTAATTTCTTTTTAAAAACGTTGAATAAAAGGAAAATTTATTGGGAACTACCTCAGCAGTTCTGCAGCCTCATCCTCGTTGGCAAAGCAAAGATCTATATTCCCTGACTCTAGTAACTGTAGAAGTGGCAGCCTAAACTTCCGAACCATCTGTAAAAGAAAGATTATCTTGAGCACTTGTAGAGCAACAATTCTGTGTTTTGTTTGGCAAGAATTCTCCACGTATCAGAATATTATGAAATTACGTAATTTCAAGATCATCTGTCGTGATACTATCTTCAATTTTCCAAAAAGTGAAGAAAGCAACAGGTATTACCTCAAAGCTGGCAAGATCTAGTGAAACAGAAAGGCCCTCTTGCTTGGCAATTTTAATAGCCGTGTGAATTACGTCCAAGTTTACAATTGCATATCTTAGTACTAGCCACTATAACACAAAAGGCAAATGAGTGGTGTTAATAATTTACAAAGCAAATACAATGTTAATTGAGACGATATTTAGTTCAAACATTTGAAAAGTACTAGACAACTTAGATCAGCAAGTAATGAAAACATTCATCCTTTCACTGCCACATGCTAGATATGGCTCACCTTAGATCCTTTGAAATCCTCTCTTTTAAATTCATCGGCCTGTAAAAGGATAGGAATAAGAAACATGTACAAGTCCATAACAGCACGGTGAAGATATCCTTGAAAATAAGAAGTTATTTTATACTAGTAGACTGGAATTATGCGGCATTCACCTCAACTTTCGTGGCACCAGAGAGACATGGCCGCATTGTGCGATTACCCAATTCATCAACTAAGCAAATGCACTGTCCATGCAATCAACATATCAGGTTTCTGGATATGAAAGTTTCTATTTAATAATTTTTAAAAGAAGCCTGCAAATTTAGAAGCAGTGCAATGCTCACTTGTGCAGTGGGACCGATCTTCAACCTTAATCTCGCTATATCGACATTGTAAAGGTTCATGTTATCTATGAACAAGCGCCCTTGTTCATCGTCCCCACAGGCCCCAATTATACCACAGGTGACACCAAAGCCAGCAGCCAGGCCTCTTATAGTATTAGCGACACTTCCCCCTGCAATGGTCTTCAAAGGAGATGCAGTTTCGGGTGAAGCAACAATATGTGCATTAACCTCATCCAAGATGCACTTCAGATCTTCCGCTGCAACCTGAGGAAAACCAAAAGTACAATCTTATATGAAAACAATTATTGGGGAACAATAAAAAAATCATTTACCAGATCAACGGTCTTCAAGTTAAACAAAGAAATTCTGGTTGAAGAAGCATTTTCACAAACATCATCCATCACTGTTAATCTCTCTAAATATTTATAAAATAGAATTGGACAGCCTATCTAAATTACAAAACCTCCACCCAGAAGACATAGGTCGGGATTCAGAGACATGAAATCGAAAACCTGAATGCAGTTAACAAGAATTAATTAATTTGAAGAAAAAGGAAGAATAAGTCATAAACTACTTTTGAACTGCGCATACAGCTTATCAATGATGATGATCACCCAGATCCCAGTATTTAAAAAAGTTTCAAGATCGCAATTTTCTCTTTTCACCTTAATGTGCTCAAAACATCCCATCAGAACAGAACATGAAACGTCAGAGTGGATCTTGTACACAGAACACAATTTCTAAAATCACACAAACTCACAACAATGATAAAGATTCAAACTTCTCTTAATTTGAGCATAAAATCCAACAAAAGACTAAAATAATCTAACAATGGGCATTAATCAATTTCAATAATTAGCATCATACACAACGCACAGAAGGGTGGGAGACGGATGAGAAAATACAGGAAAAGAACCGCCAGGCTCGCCGGGAATTCGGGAGAGGAGGGAACGATCAACTCTTGCCGCATGGTCCACAAGGGCCGAGGGTTGGAGTCCCAGAATCAATGGTGCAGCTGCACCGGTAATACTGTTATTTTGATTCTTGTTTTGGGGCTTAAATTCAATTCCCATTTAATTTTTTATTGGGTTTTAGGAATGGAAGAATTGTAGAGCTCAAACTCGTTTGCTTACTGTTTTTCCTTCCCCACCTCTGTATCTTGTACTCCCTATTTATAAGCTTTCATTTCCTATTAGGATTTTTTAATTAATTTTTTCTTATTTGTTAAAATATCAATCTAAAAGCATTTTAAAAATCATCGTGAAATTGTTCAAACATTTTACATTTTACATCGTGTGATTTTCTTTAATTATGCCCATTTAAAGAAAAATTAGTCCAAAAAGAGGACAACTTGCTGTTCTTAGTGGATTACGTACCAAAAGCATCTCCTTTTATTTGAAGTGATCAAATGACAAAGCTAGAAAAAGTATAAATTTTTGCTTTTTTATGTATGAACGGTTTGAATTTTCACATACGATGGTTCTACAAGCATCTAAGTAAAAATACACTTTAATAATTTCAAGCTTATAAGCTTCAATGCCATTATTTAAATGGTATACATTTGAAAATATTTAATAATTTGAACTTTTAAATTAAATGATTCAATATATTATCAGAATAGGAAAAGACCTCGATTTCCAGTCATGTCCCTGTCTCTTTAAATAAATTGTCCATATGTTAAGTATGTTGATAATTTCACTCGATCTTGCTAAGAGAGGGAAATGCCTTAAATACAACGTGTGACAAGTTCATGTATCCTGACCATGCATTTATCCAACCCTCATCACAACCCCCCCCCTACTCCTAACCCCAACAAGAACTTAATGAGTTGTTCCATCTATTATTATTGCGTAACAAATATATTCTAATTGGGTAATGCATATCATTCATGGCATAATTTTCATATTTCAAGATTTATTTATTGAAATAATTTGTTCTGATAAATTAGATTGTATGTTGTGACTTGATTGGATAGAACATGATATAAATAAATATTTTGCATATCCTTCTTTATTGTTTAATCTTATCATGTATCTTCACATGAGATGTTAGGTGATATGAAATTCTAAGATTTTGTATCATACATCTTATCATTAAATGTACTAAATGATCATTATTAAAATGTAAGATCGATAATATTAAATAGTCGATATTCATTTTTATAGGAATTGACATTCAATACAATATATATTCATTCAGTTGAAATGAAATCAAACCTAATGAGAATAAAAAAAACTTTAAGCATTGTGAAAATTGCAACCTTGCATTTCGAGACCTTTTATGAATTTCCTTTCATTTTTTTTTTTTTTATCCTTTTTGAGAGAGTAGCGTGTAGGATTATTTATTTCTCTATGAACGTTATGTAGAGTAAATGATGATAGATCCATCTTTGATTACATTTAAAGAGGCAAGACAATATAATTTGGAAAGGCATGGCTAGTCAAATAAAAAGAAGTCGAATACTATTGTTCGCTACAATCTAAATAACATAGCAAACACCTCATACGAAAACTAACGTGGCAAAAGGTTACAATATTGACTAGATACTATATTAATTGTTCATAGAAAGATTAAATGGGAAGATTAAGTCATTAAGCTTGCTTGTTCTTCATTTCTTGATAAAGAAACTGCTAAGTAATTTTCGAAGGTAATAAATTGACTTAAATATATAAATATATATATATATATATAGGTAAGTCATGAGTATTTGCAGTATTATTATCTTATTTGATGTGGGCATCCTCCCATTACGGATTCCTGCAATTTGATCAAAGCAGTTGTTATGGCCCCGTTTGGAAGTAAATTTTCACTCCAAAAAATTGATTTTTTGATCGTTATTTCATTATTCCAACCGTAATTTTTTATTTTTTCTCTCACAGATGGCCCTCACTTTTCTCTTAACGATCAAAAAATCAATTCTCAAAATTACTACCGAATGGGCCCTATATATTCAAATAGGTTAACTTGGTGGTCCTAACCTACCATAGCCAAGTTGAAGAATTTTCCTTTATATTATAGTGCAAGAAAGATGAGGGTATTGATGCATATTCTTAAAATACCATTTGAATGGTCTACAAGCTTTATTGTTGAGAGCGATAATAATAAGAAAAAGTGCATATTCATATAAAACGACCAATCATCGATGTGAGACGTATGTCTATTTGGCGTTACAAGTCTTCCTCCTCATGAGTGGTCAAGAGTTGCTGAAGAAAGGAATTAATATCCGTAGATGCCATTCGAACTGAACCTGTAGAGTGAGAGCCCATGGGTCAAAAGGCGGTGGGGAAGGAGGGGCCCTACGTGAAGAACACAAGTTTTCTTCGCCCTCTCTCGTACACTCAATACATATATTATGACGATATGATACCAGTATGAATGTTCAATATATCCTACAATAGTATCTCTATTCAAGAGAAAAAAGTGTACTGTATAATTAGACCCTAAGGTTGACTACGAATTTTGGACAATATTGTACCATACTATAAGATTAGATCAACGTTTTCCACACAAAGAAAAAGATGCATGGTTCTTGCCCAGAGACAGAGATGACTTCACTAATTATCTCACTGCGAACATGTAATCTAGTCAGCCTCTGAAGAAGAACAGACATTGAGAAATATCATGCCAAAATCTACTTTGTTTCGATGATGAATAAAGCGAAGACACTCAGAATTCTCATGTACTATGCACGCCTTTCAACAGTCACACATGTTACTTTTCACTTGGAAATAATTTGTTTTCATAGACGAAGTCATGAGTTTTCTTCTTAGGGTTAGAAGGCTCGTCTATGTTGATTTATTATTATGTATATTTTTCCAATCTCGTTTACTTTAACGTGTCAAACATGTTTGTGTAATCTATTTCTCGAGTGAAAAATCCCCTTTCTCCATCATAATATCACAATGACTTTGCAAAATCTCCGTCAATTCTTCTTGTCAATGCAAACTCTTAAGATTTATTATTTAATTTCAATTGAATAAGACCTTAAATCTTTTTGTATTTGGTGGTGAGCTGTTGTCAAATTTTGAAATGTACTAAAATTGTTTGTAAAGTTCCTAGAAGATACATCGACAACTAGTCGAATACTCGATTGTCTGTAGCATTGTTCATATTGGATAAAGGAACAAAGCAATATTAAGGATATATTTTTCAATTTTGATCCTAAATAAAACAATTTCATATCTAAAAGGTAAAATAAAACAAATGGGAACATGACATGAATTGGGTTAGGAGCGTGCAGGTAAAGGGAATCCGCCGTATACATGTTACTCCAGTTGTCTGTGGACCAAGAAAATAAGCAAAAAAAAAAAAAATATTAAGTCAATTTCATCACTTAACAAGAGTTTTAAAATTATTTCCAGGATCAAGTTAGGGAAGCATAACAATTGATATAGGAAATGACTGAACACACACCTCGTGGATTGGGCAATATTTAATTCACGTGGGGTCACCCGCATGTCAAACATTATTGGGCAAAATGACATTTTCCTTATTTTCAGTTGATCAGTTCAAAAGTTAATTCTAAAGGTTAAGATTTGAATTCAATTCATCTACAAAAGGTTATATAAACTTCTAATAATCCTAAAAATTCTTGATTGGGAAAATACATTGCTGGTCGAACCCTATTTTGGATTTTTGACCATATTCTCCATAAGGCCCTCCTCGACATGTACAATTTCAAGTTAATTTCTCAATACTTTGTAATCATTCCCCAAATACTCTTGCCTTTGCAATTGATGAAATTGTGTCTAATTTCAAAAAATACTAACTTGACTATCAAAATTTAATGGACTTCACATTCAATACTAATCAAGCAGCCGAGTTGTGCAACCAACTTAGTATATTATTATGGTTAAATTATACATTTCATTCTCTACTCTTTATCCCTCGTTACATTTCTTAATACTAACATTTTTCATATGCGTCTCATTTTTAACTTCAATTTTTCGTTAGTTAACGTTATTCATACATACTGTATACTTGTTTGAACCTATTTAGGGAGTGATTTCCATGTCATAAGGTTTTATATATTGTGGTTTTCCGTGTCATAAACACTCTTTTGAGTCACCATCAACAAGGTCTAGTTTCAACAATCTACAACTTCAATCAGAAGCTCACGTTGGAGCCAGCCTGCTGCCTTTTGTCCCTGTCAAATGTGTTCCTTTTGGTATCGAAGTGCCTCGTCTTTGCTAAATTCACTGTCTAGACGCAAATTGGCTGAGACTTTTAGGATTATTTGTTCTTCGTCTAGACAGCTAGAATCCATATACTTCAAGCTACGATTAGATTAAAGAACGCTATATTCTTTAACAACTGGCCATTTATACGAACAATTGTTGGCCCATTGAATCTTGTTCTTCACCATAGTAAAGAATCCAAGAAATACAGACAGACACATGAGGAGATTCCATTAATTCAGAAGTGGCGTATGATTGGTGGACAATCATTGTTGCTTTTTAAATCAGAAAGCAGCTGAATTCACGGGGCGGGATTGGCTCATCTTTTGGCTCTTGATCCATCAACCAGCCACTCCTGTCTAATCTTTCAGAGATTCCCAACAACTATAATGTAGTGGATTAATCATTAAGGTAAAAATATTGTATCATGTCTAGATTTAGCTTAATGATTTCTGCCTATGGAATAGACACTAGGAATTACAATTAACTAGGACATAGCATTCACAATTAACTAGGCTCCACAAATATTCTTTAGTCACCTAAATACAATAAAATTTGTGCTATTGACAATAAATTTTGTTACAATGTAATCATTTGGTAATGGTGCAGCGTCAGTCCTCTAGACAATAGCAATGCTATTCAACGCCACTAATATCAAATACCAATTTGGATGATAACTGCATAACATTAAAGGTCTGTTTGATTGCGAAGATTGAATTTAGGTGAGAAGAAAATGAATTCTAGGAAATTGAATTACCCAGGAATTGTTTTCCTGGGAATTCTAAATTATTGTGTTTGATTGGTATAATTCTTCACGTGAAAAATATTGAAGTAAAAGTGTTTTTTGGTATTCGTTTGATTTTGTTTTACATGAAAGTTGTCAATTTAAGGGATATCCACTTCTATCATTGCTCCTATAATTTGTTTCCGTTGCCAACCAAAAAAAAAAAAAAGGAAAAAAAAACGACAAAAAAATCATCTATATTTTGGTATTCGTTTGACTTTGTT